TTAGGTGACAGAAGAAGAAGCAAAAAGTCAGCTGTACAAAGGTTCGCTGCCCTCCCTCCTTGCTTCTCTCACCCCCACCCTCTCCAGCGCTTATTACCGCCTACTCCTCCACATGCCTCCGAGTGCTGGGCCCCGGCGTACCGGCTCCAGCCATGTCGGCGAGCGAGGCAGCGGCTGCCGCCGGTGACAGAGCCCCCGGGGGAGAGACAGGTAGGTCCCCGGCTAGTGTTTAAAGCCACATTCTCGACACATCCACCGGTGGGATATTTTCGTTTGGCGCTGCCGGAGTGCGAGCTGCTCCACAGCGGGCGGAGGGAGAGGGAGAGGGAGAGGGGAGCTGTCGGTGTTCTGCTCTCATTGGTGTTCGCACTCAAACTAGGTCAGTAGTTCAGTAGAGCAAACTCTCGCAGTCGAGGATTGACGCTGGCTGTTGTGTTACTGTGTTGCTGTACTGAACTGGCCGCATTGCCCTGGTTTGGGAAATGACACTGCAAGGACCAGTTTTATTTTGCGTCTCTACTCTACATTTATTCGACCTGAAAGTGGAGTTTGTTTATAGCTCTCCACAGAGGCCCGGCTCTGCTGTCCTTATGAACTTACTTCTGCCTGTGCTAACACAGGTTAATATTAAGCCTAGCTTATCTAGTCTCGCCTGCCTGTTGTTGTTGTTTTTAAACCTTGTAGCAACCTAGTTTTGTGTCATTGTCCTGTATCACCTCTTGAATGGAAATAACTGTAGATTAGACCACTACTTTTCTCACCAGTTCCTCTGTCCCTGCTGGAAAATCCAGTAGAAACCATCAGAGAAATTCTAATGGTTTCCACTACAAATACCATTACAAACCATCAGCTAACCATTAAAACCATTACTATTATTGGTCTGTAATGGTATCCACTAGACATAACATGCCACCAACAGACGACAACAGATTACCAGTAGAGACCCACAGGGACCATTACAGTTTCTATTAAAACCAATACAATTCCCATTATAACCATTAAAACCATTATCATTATTGGTTCTTAATGGTATCCACTAGACATAACATGCCACCAATAGAAGGCAACAAATTACCAGTAAGGGACATTCCATTAAAACCAATACAATTCCCATTATAACCATTAAAACCATTACAAATTCTATGAGGGTTTCTGTTGTTTTTTAGGCAGGGATGTTAAGATAATCCACCTCACAGCTCTCCTGTTAGGGGAAAGAACGACACTGTTGAATAGTAGTAGCTTTATTGGTTGAGTTGGACGCACAGGATCTGCAGATTTTGTACTGTATACGACCAGCAGAAATAACACATGTAAGGAAACTACTGTGTTAATGAAATGTTTTGGGAAGCTTTCTAGCAGCCTATAACCTAGATTGTTCCGGTGCTTATGAAACGTGTAAACGTGTGAGTGATGTTTCTCTGGCATCAGCCCAGGAGGTCGAATTTTATTTTAAGCTTTTGCTTTGAGTCATTATTTTTTTTTTTTTTTTTTTTACACAGATAGCTTTTGGAGGAAAATGTAAGTAAATATGTACACAGATTTATTGTCCAGATCAAATAAAATGATCAGTGTTGTGTTAATTGAATGTAGCAGATGGAGATCATTGTTGGAGCTCTGTCTTTATATTTCTCAGCACTGTATGGGAGTGGAAGAAAGATCATCTTATTATTGTCTGTGAATGTGTATGGGCAATTGGTTGTGGACTTCTGAGCAGGAATGAAAAAAAAATTTTTTTTCTAAATAAAAATGAGAAGGATGTGTGAATGTGACTGAGGTGTTGTGTTTTTCCCCTGTCAGTGCTCCTGGATCTGGAGTGTGCTTAATGCATAAATCGCACTTGTGTAATATGTAGGTCAAACTTAGCACTGTTGTGGGCCAGCTCTCTGATGTCCTATTGATGCAGCAAACGACCATGGTTAAACCAAAAAAAAAAAAACACCAACCATTATATTAATTAGTGAAATGTCTTTGTAACAGAGTCTGTGTATCCTTAAGAACCACGCAACAGTTTAAAAATGTATGTAAATAAATGATTGCAGTCAGGAAACCCAATATGTATAGTATATCATGTCTAAGGAGTTTTGGGTAGTGGTTTAGGACTCGTTCATCTTCAGTAACTGCTAGTTCACGGTCCAGAGTCTATCCCAGGAATACTGCGTGAGAGCTGGGACTACATCCTGAATGGCTCACCAGTCCATCACAAGGCACCGTCCACACACACATGCACACATTCACACACGCATTCACATCTAGGGGCGATTTATCATAGCAAATCCACTTACAAGATTTTTTTTTTTAAAGCTGCAAGGAAACCAGAGGAAACGTATGCAGACATGGGGAGAACATGTACAGAAACTCAGCACAGACAGTAACCTGATCTCGGGAATGAACTGGGGAGCTGTGAGGCAGCAACTGTACCCACTGTGCCACCTTACCTCCCTGACTCTGAATATCCTCCGGTGAAAATAATTAATTTCAAAGCCTTGTTGCCTGTTATACTCCATTTATGACATGAAACAAAGATTTAGACACCGTTTTACGGAATAATAAAAACAATGGCATGTTTAATCTTATGTCTAAGGGTGTTTTAAAGTCGTTTTTGCACGTGTTTTCTCCCAAACTGCATCACCCGAACCGCGGTACGGTCCGCATCAGATGTGGAAGCTGTCCGCACTCTGCGCCATGTTTCGAGTAATGTGATTGATTCAATTTGCCACATTACTTACTGTTTCTAATTTCATTGTGCTGGGAGAAAGGTTGTTATTGATATATAAAACCTGACTTTTGGAGCACTGTAATTAATACACTTTTGTAGTTGAGTGTTTGCATTGAGAGCATTGTGAAAAATTAATGTCTTGTCCCGGCCTGCATATCCAAAAATCTGCTTATACGAGATCGGCTCCTTGTTTACATGTATTCCTACACGATGACATGCCACGCAGCCAAAAAGCACTGCAAAGCTTGTGTCTTGGTACCAAAGGAAAATAATAAAACAAACCCCAGCAAAGTGATGAACCTAGTGCCTACCATTTTGCACAAAAGGAGTATGGAATTGCACAATCGATCGACAGTTCAGAAGGAATTTTTCAGAAGGAACCTGTGATTATGAGCCATGTCCTGAAATGAGCCCCAAAATTGGTCCAGACTATGGACTCAAGTATTCAGAAAAAGAGTAAAAATGCTCTTTGAGGTCTTTAGTTTTTATAATTGAGAACCATACTGCCTGCTCCTTGAGTGTTTTATTGATGTCAGATATATGGTACTTGTTTGGTTATCTGAAACCTTTTTATGACTTTATAAATATCCTGGACTGGTTACAGTGTAAAAAGTTTTTCAGTAACCACTTTATCCTGATCAGGGTTGCTTTGTATCCAGAGTCTATCCCAGGAACACTGGGCCGAGATGGAAATATGCACTTGATGGGATGCCAGTCTGTTGCTGGGCCCTTGTAGAATCTGTTTACCTTAAATAACTACCAAAACACAGGAAGGATGTGTTGATTGCTCTCAAATTGCTTTGGCTAACAGAGCACGTCTTTATGTTTGTCATTGTTCATGCTACTGGTGCACAAATAGTGGAGATGGATTAGAATATGAGTAGAGGTTTGCCATTTTTAATCCAAACCTGTAGTACAACAACGGCATGCAGTCATTTATTTAATTTGCAAACTTGGGAGTTACTGAGTAAATGCTAGAACGGAAAATGTGCATAGTGAGAAGTGAGAAAGAAAGCGCCTTATGTTTATGGAACAAAAATCTGTGACAAATTCTGTAACTTTATTACCACCACTTGGTCGATGCCTCAAGAGTAATAACTTCTGTCCAAACTGGCTCTCAAATGCTTTTAGTGTCTGAGGTTTTTGGCACGGACAATATGAAACAGCTCATTATTGTAGGAAATTATTTGCACATAAAACATTTAAGTGATTGGAATCAACTCAGAAAACAGGAACGAGAAAGGCCTCCCTCTTGTACCTTACTCACACAGCTGGCATATAACACGAGATGAACCTTTTCCCAAAAGTAGGTTAAAGTAGGTTATTTTCAGCACCATGCTGTTGCTTCACCTTCTGCCTCGTTCTCATTGAGCACATGAAGACGAACAGGGTTGAAGGACCGGTTGGCAAAAGCAGATTACAATCTGCAGAGAAGCACTATGCACCAGTTATCCCTCAAGGGTATGAAAGCAAAGGCCCTGGTTTATAAAGGTTGCAGTATTTTAGGGATCTGCTTTGTTTAAAGTTGTTTCAGGTGTCAGCTGCTCTGCTCTTGTGGGAAAAAGAGGGGAAATAATGCAGCTGAATTCCCACAGCCTTCACGTCACTGCTGATATCCTATGGAAAATATCTTATGTAAATATTCTCAGTGTCATGCTCATAAATTTATCAGCTCCAGTGATTTGGATAGGGACTATAAAAGAAATGCTTAGGGTATCCGTAGTATACAACAGTTTGGAAATATAGCAAATGCAAACCCTGAGAATGGAAACTGAGTTACAGAGTACAAACTCTGTGTGTTTGACCATGTAGTGTTCAGTCTAATGCTGAATGTTGGAACCATGATCTCAAGTGAGTTGTGAATATAGTGTGTTGTATGACTTTACATTATGGTGTGAAGGTAGAAAGCAGGTTATCATGTCTATTTTAGCTCCCAGACTTCAGTTTTGCACCTCATTAAAGGTGCTATATGTAACATTAATTAAGGCATCGATTTCTGCAGCTCTTGTGTTGCCTGCTTGTTAGCACAATTAGTGGCACATATGGTAAAAATGGTTATGAAAAAAAGTCTTTGTGTTTAATTAGCGTAATCTCGTGCTGAAGATATGAGAGAAATGTAACCTTTAATTGAAGCAAATTTATTCTAAGGAAATAAAAGCCTGTATCAGTTTTTTTTTTTTTTTTTTTTTAACAAAACCATGTGTCAGTCATCGGCACTTCTGCATTTATCATTTTATGCAACTTCCCCCTGTCAACATAACAACATAATGCTGTTGAATAAATGCCTTCGATAGCTCAGTTGGTAGAGGGGAGGACTGTAGGTGCTAAAATGGCCATAGTTAGGTTGATGGTTCAAATCTGGCTCGAAGGACAATTTGCTTTGGGCAGTGGTGGCTCAGTGGTTAAGGCTCAGGGTTACTCATCAGAAGGTCAGGTGTCTCAGCACCACCAAGCTGCCTGTGTTGGGCTCTTGTTCAAGGCCTTTAACCCTCTGTGCTCCAGGGGTGCCATGTCATGGTAGACCCTATGCTCTAACTCCAACTATACATAAGTTTTATGTATATGTGACAAAGAATTTCTTCTGAATCTTCTCCTGTAATGCTTTGACACCACTTCTCAATATATCTCTTCAGAGTCCTAGGTCCTCTCTTGTGGACAGTCCTCTTCAGCGCACTCCACAGGTTTAGGTCAGGGGACTGGGATGGCCATGTCCATTGAACCATTTTTGTGTGGATTTGGATGTATATTTTGTATCATTTGGACCTACTGGAAGATCTAACCACCCAGTTATAGCTTCTTAGCAAAAGCTGATTTTTCTTTAAAAAAAAAAAAACATCTCCTGGTAATAGATGGACTCCATGATGATATTTGTCCTCAGAAGTTTCTCAGGGCCTTTGGAAGAAAAACATCTTCAGAACATCACATATCATCCACAGTGCAGAACAGTAGGGATTTGATTCTCTTCTGTATAACTATTCTTCTTTTTATGCCAAATCCTCCTTCAGTGTTTGTTGACAAAAAGCTCTATTTTTCTCTCATCTGATGACAGAACAGTCAAAGTTCCAGTAGTGACTATTCAACTTTAGATGCTTACGGTTGTAGTTAGAAGAAAGAAAAAGCTTTCTTCTGGCAGGTAGTTTGCTGGCATGTAGATGGTGTCTAATTGTAAATTTGGAGACTTAGTAACCCCAAAATGCGGTTTTCTTCTGCAAGTCTCACAGTGATCCTTAGAAAGATCTTTACCTCTTTAACCATTCTGGTCACTGTGTGTGGTGGCAAAATACACTAGCGTCCACTTACATCCAGGTTCAGTACAGATCCAGTTGTTTTAAATGTCTTAATTATTGCCCTAACAGTAGATATGGGTATATTTTAAAAGCCATTGTCTGATTTATGAAGATCAATACATTTTTTGTCTCATTTGATTTTATTATCATTATTGTTCTCTAGTCCATGTTGATGAAGGACTAAAGAAATTTGGCCTTTGTGTTGCCTCATATTTATACCCCAGTGAAACCACTGACCACTTAAGAGTTTCTAAACACTCAAGTGAATTAAAAAAAAAAAGTAAAATACAAATGGAAAATGGTACATTTCTAATGAATAGTTCATTTATTCATTAGAAATGTACCATGCTTCAGTTTTATTTTTTATTTTTTTCAATTTTATTCATTAGAATTTCTAAGGGTGCCAATAATCAACACATGTGGTTTTGTTATCAAAAATTTTTTTTTTTATTTTACTAGAATAAATTTAGTTCAGTGAAAGGTTAGATTTCTCTAGTAAGATATTTTTACAGAGTGTTTAAGCTAATTAAGCACATTTTTTTTTCATAACAAAGTTTTTTTTTAACCATCTTTATGAAGGGTGCCAATAATTCTAGAGCTGGCCGTGTATGGATGTGTGCACAAGCCCTTACCAATTTGTTTTATATGACTGTGACATTTTGTTTGTTTTGTGTGATTGACGATGTAATGAAATGGGGAAAAAAACCATTGAACTTGAGTTTAAATTACAGTAAAGCATGATGGGTGGTTGATTTAATATTTGCATGTGAATTTTGTCATGTGACGTGGAGTGATCTGGTGGTGTGATCTGCTTTCACAGAAATTGTAGCAGCCTTGACACAGGAAATTGTCCAGATCTTGCATATAGCAGTAGCAGCATTAAGCTAGGTCATGAAAACTATCTAGCACGTAGTACATACTTATAGGCATGTTTTAAATTCGGATACATTGCCTTGATTATTATATTAATAATCTTCCATAATAAGTGTATGACATCAGATTAGATTAAAAAAAAAAAAAAAAGCCACACATTTAAAGACAGTGTGGCTGAATGTGGAACAGTTATGAAAACAGACCCAGTTTTTTTTGTTAGCACTTTTTCAGGTTGTGGTGTATGAAGTTGTACCAAGGATGATGTGTAATTCATGTCGCAACAACATGTGTTCTCTTTTTGAAATGATGGTCACACTGTGCCACTAATCATTGAACACTTCTTTGCAGTAGACAGGCACATAATATAGTAATTAAAATATATGTGCTCTTAAAAAGGTTCTTTTGTTGTCATTCAAGATGCCTTTAAATATTTTCTAAATGTGGTTGTAAATGTGTTTAAATTGCTTTAAAGCTTTGGAAAGGTTTTGAGGCTTGTGTAATTGTCTCTGAAACCAGTATATAAACCGTTTGCCAGCCTTAATAAGGGAAATGAGTGTAGGTGTACTATGTGTGTTCACTCATCTCTCCGGCCATAAGATTGCAATAAAGCTCGAATTATATGGCATACATTTGGTCTTGTGAATATAAATTTATTGAATTTCTTCTACACTATGGTAGCTGATGCGCTGCAGTGACTGAGCTGCATTACTGGAAGATTTACCACACACCACACTGCTCTTTTACTGCTTAGTCACCATTTTTTGCATTTTTAGCTTGTCAGGTTTTGTGGATATCAATAAATATAATTCAGTTGTGCCGTGAATGCACTTGGTAATTTACGGGTGATGGGAATTTATCAACATGTATATGAGTATGAAGAAATATCAGCATTAATCAGCTTATGTAAATCTGCTGGGAATTTTTAGTTCAGTTTGGCCTAAGAAAACATTTACACACAACTTTACCAAATGATTGATAAATGAGGCCCTTTGTATCTTCAGTTGCAGTTGGTTGCAAGTTGACAAGAGATGATATATTTAATAGTAAGAAGCATATGGTGAAAATAATTTGACAGGGGTGTTTAATCTGATTAAATAAGTAAATATGTCTTTAGTAAAGAATTGTAAAATGGTTGTGGGTTAATGTACTTGGCTAAATGTTTTCTGATTGTTTGTAGTATCCTGAGTTTTTATTCTATTTAATAAGTCGCTAGGAGAATAGCCTTCTTTTATGTGAAATATTTTGTGGTCATGTGCAGCTGCACTGTAATGCAGGTCGTGTATGGAAGTTACTTTCCTGAAGAGAGGGAGGAGGTAGATCATTGCAAAATGTGGCCACAATATCACCTTGTAAAGCCTAATAATCTTCACTCCAGAGCCCAGGATTAAAAAATCAGCCTGCTGCTGATCTGTTAATGACTATTTAGGTCACTGGGCCTGTGGGCCATTCTTAAATGGAGGAGCCAGGGACGAGAGCTGGGTCTGCTCTGGCCCATTCCGCTGAACTCGGTGACTCACACTCATACCACAGTGAAGGAGTGGAGTGGTTCAGGGGCAAATCAACATGCTTATAGGCTTAGCGACAGAAAGGTTCAAGCCTGGCCACACACACACAGACCAAGGAAAAATCCTTGATTTATGAATGGGATTGTTAGTTTTGAATTTTATAAAAGCAAAATGCTGAATTCCAGTAAAACATATTGTGAATGGTCTATTATGTCACTTTGGCCATATTGTTCACACTGACCTCTTGAAGAGACAAACAGCTGATTATATTGTTCATTTTTTACATTCATGATTTTTGTTGTGTATGAAATCCATGCAACAATGAAGCTGAGTCAAAGTAGAGCAAACACAAAGTTTCGTATATACCGAAGACCAGGCATTATGTTTACTCGCTGACATATTCTCTGTCTCTTGGGCTGTGAAAAGTGTTCACATTTGTTAAACAAGATTGTGATAACAGTCTTCCAGTACTTGTGCAAGGCACTAAAGGTAACCTACATATGTATACTGGTGTAGGTGTCTGTGAATTGACTCTCTTTTGTATCACATTGCTGCTAAATCGTGGCCACTTTTAGGGTCCACGTGTAGTGCTAGGTTTAAAGTAAAGATGCAACAATCTGGGCTGATATTGATATATTTGTCATGTATGTCTATGTGGAGAAAATGGGAGTAGATGCACGTGATTTATACATTAATTTGTGTACCATTAAAATGAAAGATGTTGGCAAAGTGGTCATGAAATCAGGAGGCCTTGCCCTTAAAGGTTAACAATCCCATTACTTAAATAGCACATCTTGGTAATAATTTTTTTTCTTTTCAGTTAACAGTTATAAATAATAGCAATGGAAAGTAATAACAATTCTCTGCTGATACTAATCTGATTATTGTGCATCCTTAAAATTTAATCTGTTATTTGGACATGCTCTCGTCTGGGAGTTTCGTTTTGTGCATGAATACTGATGGTGAAATCACTCTCACTCTCTGTTCCAAGACAATTTCCACCACGGCTTCCTTCCAACAGCAAAAATAGACACAGGAACACTCGCTATTTTAGTTTGCTTCAGCAGATTCTTTATTATGCTGGAAATGTTTTTACTTTTAAATGAACTTTACACTTCTTCAGAACATAAATATTGTATATGCATGAATGCATACAAATCTGTCAGCTTGGAGGAGTGTGTTTTTTAAACATGTATCAAGTGTGAACAGATGAAATGCAATATGTAGATGATGGTTGGTCGAATATTTATCTCCCTGCCCTGTAAGAGAAATTGCTACTACCAGTGATTTGTCTTGTAGCTGCTTCAAATCAACAACAAATTAGTACATAAGAGCAAGACTCAATTGGATTGCTGTTTTTGTTTCTTGTTGCTGAATTATGAGTCCACTGTGTATTCTGTGAGATCCCGGTATCCCTTGTGGATGCAGATTTCAACAATGGGAAACCAGCCAGTTGTGTAGAAGACACTTACTTTTAATAAACTTCCCTACTGAAAGTCATGGAGATGTGTGTGGCATTCTGGGAAAACCTACCAGCTGACACTAGGACTGAATTCTGGAAAACAGCCAAAAATGATGGTTGGTTTTCTTTATTTTACTTTTTTATTTTGAGTTACTGTTTTTTCCTGCAATTTTCTGGTACTCCTGGTTATGAATGGCTGTGGCATAGTCAGGATTCAAACTCACAATTTCCTGACAATGGGGTC